TGAATTATATCATTTCTTCGTTCTGCGTCTGCACACCCTCTCCCCCTCCAGGAACCGGAGCCCGAGACGGAAGCAGTGAGCTCCAGCCAGGAGATCCCCACGATGCCTCAGCCGGTCGAGAGGGTCTCGGTGTCCACTCAGACCCGGAAGCTAAGTGCCTCTTCCCCACGGATGCTACACCGGAGCACCCAGACCACGGGCGACGGCGTGTGCCAGAGCATGTGCCACGACAAATACACCAAAATCTTCAACGACTTCAAAGACCGGATGAAGTCCGACCACAAGCGAGAGACGGAGAGAGTCGTCCGAGAAGCTCTAGAAAAGGTAACGCTCGTCCTCGCGGCACCGGGGCCTCTCCCGTGGCAGGTTGGCGCCTCTCACTTACACATCACCTGGGTAGCAGCTTTCTAAAACTACGAATGTAATAAAACCTGTATCTTCTATGACATTTCAAGTAATAACGACACTTTTCTCACCTAAAGTTCTTGCGCGTCTTAACGAAATGAAGGGAAAAGGCACGTGGCTTAGGTTTCCACGGCAGCACGACGGTCTGTGTCAGCCGCGAGCTGACGTGCGGTGGGTTCACTTCTCTCGTTTCAGCTGCGTTCTGAAATGGAAGAAGAAAAAAGACAAGCTGTAAATAAAGCCGTAGCCAACATGCAGGGCGAGATGGACAGAAAATGCAAGCAAGTAAAGGAAAAGTGTAAAGAAGAATTCGTAGAAGAAATCAAGAAGCTGGCCACGCAGCACAAACAGCTCATTTCCCAGACCAAGAAGAAGCAGTGGGTAAATATCAGCATTTCCTTAGAATTTTATTTCTGAGATGGCACCACAGGTGTGATGAGAATCGGTTCAGAAGGAACACACAGCCTAGGCAGAAATTATCCCTGAAATAAGATCAACTGTGAGGTTGTCAACTTTAATTCTAAAAATTTCATTAAAAGTCCTAAAATCTTTCAACCCCAGATCCCACATTACGGGGTACTGCTCAGGATTATTTTAAATTGAGATTATAATACTTCAGTATGTAGCATATTTAGTACAAATAATTTATATAACTTCTCCGTCTATGCAAATATTTCACTGTGGTAAATTGGCTGGCCCTGGCTTTTGCCTGGTGATTTCTGATAGGTAATATCCAGACTGTGAAATCATAAATGTAAATATCACAATAAAAAATGAAAGATTTTTCAGATTTCCCTACACTTAACATTTATACGTCAGATGCTGTCACATTAGTGGTGACACTGGTCTCTAATACACTCCCCGTGTGAGAGACAGACGCTGCCCGGAGCAGAAACTCCTGAACTCACAGGGCTGTGTCCTCCTACGGCCTCCACACGCTGCGAATCGTGGGGAGAGTTTTGCTCCCAAGAGCTCATAACTTGGTTTCAATTTTAATGAATTACTATGTAAAGTTTTGTGATAAATTATATTAATTCTTCTTTTTATCCAGCCTACATTACGTAAATACATGTAAAGTAAATAAAATGTGTGATAGAGATTTGGCAAAAAGGAAGAGGAAAACTTAGCATGTAATTTAGAAGAATGCATGCAGATGACTTGGTAGGACGAACTGGTGAATAATGAAAGGAATGTTAGTGAGAATTAAGATGTACTCAGGACAGTGACAGCAGAATTGCCCAAAGCCCGTGTCTGTGATGATTCTGAGTCACGTGGAGAAGAGAAACCCAGAGAGTGGACACCCGAGTCATGAGAAGAAATCCCTGTAAGTTTACGAAAGAACCGAGGAGATGGGAAGAGGAGGTTATGGTACTTACGATACGTTATAATCGTAATCACTTTACCACTGTGAAATAGACAACCCTGGTATTTTTATACCCTTTTCTTTTAGATGAGGAATCTGAGGCTTATGATATTAAACAGAATGGCTAAAAACCAAGTTGGCAGAGCTGGGACTCCAGACTTTAAGCTTTTCTGTTCATCACGTTGTGTCTAGTAGGCCGGGAGTAAAAGGGCTAGACAACTTGCATCACTGTCAGAGACAGGACAGCAGCGTGTAGGTAGGTGTGCCAGAAAGTGGATGGGAAGATGAGACAGTCATGGGCATCGTAGTAAGAAAGATTGCATCTACAAGGAATGGGAGAACAGCGGGAGACCCAGTGCTATTTAAAGTATTATTTAACGATGAGGAAACTAAGAAGTTAAATAAACTTGGTCTGAAGGCGCATGACCAGCTGGTGGCACAGGCCCCAGGGCTGCACCCCGACCCAGTTCACCCAGGCTATTTCCAAAGTTAAAGGCGCTCTCCACACTTCCCTAAATTTACTGAAGTTGCAGTTGCTAACATAGTAAGATCACAAAAAATCTTAAAAGATTACTTTTAAAAGAAGATAAAGCATAATATACACAATAAAGAACAAAATTGGGGTAGAATTTTTAGGCCAAATGTAGGCTCTTCTCCCTGGGTCTTCCCTCCAAGACTCTGACCAGCAATCACATCTATGCTGCGTTTGTCTGTAGAACTTTCTGTATCCAAACTCAGTCTCTCCTCTTCCTGGCCGTCCCCTGTTCAGCCTCACAGTGGGTGCGTGTTCATGATACCACCGTTATTTTACCGACCCCCCAGCTTGGAAACTCACTTCACTTTTCTTGCTGTTTTCTTCTCCTGTGTCCAAACAGTCTAACCGTGATACTGAGGACCTTTAGACCAGAACATTCTTGGAGGGGGCTGTACACTGCAGGATGTCTAGCAGCATCCCAGGCCTCCACCTGCCAGTAGCACCTCTTCCTCCAAAGTTGTGACAATCAAAGATAGATCCAGATGGGGCCGGGCATGGTGGCTCATGCCTGTAATCCCAGCACTTTGGGAGGCAGGAGGATCACTTCAGGCCAGCTGTTTGAGAACAGACTGGTCAACATAGTGAGACCCCATCTCTATAAAAAGTACAAAAATTGGCCAGGCATGGTGGT